TTCATGTTAGTCGTGTTGTTAAAGAAAACACAGATTAAAAAAAAGCCCACAAAGAAAATAAAGTGAAAAAAGATATGCTTCAATCTGCATTCAGACTCCATCAAATCTTTCTCTGAATGTGGGTAGCATTTTTCATCACAAGTCCCTTGTCATAGATCATTGTATTGCTGAGAATATCTAAGTCATTCACAGTTAATATTGTACATTATTGCTGTTAACTGTGTACAGTGTTCTTCTGGTTCTGCTCACTTCACTTTGCATCAGTTCATGTAAGTCTTTCTAGGATTTTCTGAAATCTGCCTACTTGTCATTTCTTAGAGCACAATATATTCCATTGCAATCATTATACCACAGCTTGTTCAGTCATTCCCCAATTGACGGGCATTCCCTCAATTATGCAATTCCTTGCCATCACAAAAAGACAGTATTTTTGTACATTTAGGTTTTTTTCCCCCCAGCCCCCTCCTTTTAAAAATCCTTTTGGAATACAGACCTAGTAGTAACATTGCTGAGTCAAAAGGTATGCAGTTTCATTGCCCTTTGGGATCATAGTTCCAAATTGCTCTCCAGAATGATTGGATGAGTTTACAACTCCACCAGCATTGCATTAGTATCCCAGTTTTCCCACATCTCCTCCAACATTTATCATTTTCCTTTTTTGTCATATTAGCCAATCCTGATGGATGTGAGATATTGTAATTTGCATTTCACTAATCAATAGTGATTTAGAAAAAAAAAGTGTGTTTTTCGTGTGTGTGTGTGTGTGTATTTTTTTTGTGAGGCAGTTGGGGTTAAGTGACCTGCCCAGTGTCACATAGCTAATAAGTGTGAAGTGTCTGGTCTGAGATCAGATTTGAACTCAGGTCCTCCTGACTGCAGGCCTGGTGCTCTATCCATTGAGGCACCTATCTGCCCCTTTATGTATACTTTCAAAGAAATAATGTGTATTTGAATAATTTTTAAAAGCTCTAATATGTTGTGAATGTTTGTTGCTAAAAAGGCAACTAGGGGTATACTGGGTGGCTCAGTTTCCTCATCTGTTTAATGGGGATCATTTATCTCCCAGGGTTGTCTTGAGGATAAATAAGATTTTTTACATAGAGAGCTTCTTTATGAAAGCATTTTGTAAATCGTAAAACCACTATATAAATGGTAGCTATTATTGTTACTAGAATTACTATTACAAACACCACCACTACTACTACTTCAGTTATACGTAGAATGCATTGGGTTTAGCTAATATGCCTTTTAAATTCTTTCCTAATTTCTCTGTTCTTACCTAGTCTTCTTCAGTGATTAACAAATTCCCCCGTCAGACCCTCCTCATCACAATGATTCTGAACTCCTGGTGGTCATCATTCAGACCCCATCATTGCCCAATCCCTTATTCCCATTCCCTTTAACCCAGTCCTGACAGACTGCCACTATAAAGGTACACACTGCTTCCACTGTGCTTTCTAGAGTACTACATAAGCAACAAACTTAAGTTTCATCTTCAGGCTCCCACAGAGTCCTGACTCCCTCCTGATGACACAGCCTCTCTGACTTCCTAGCTTCACTTTCATTCCCCTTGACTCACTGGTCAAGGTGAGGGAGTTGGACTAGTCCTTGCTTCTCATTGCTACTTCCAAGTTCTGCCCCTACCACTATCACTCAGTAATCTCTTCTCTTTTGAGGTTCACTCACTCCATATATACACCCAGTTAAAATTCTGGTAGCTGTTGTCTGCTTTCCTCAAGTACATTCCCATTCTTTGCTCAGTGAATTCAGTGCCTAACAGTTTTTCTCCTCAGTGTCTGCCCTCATACCAGAGAAATTCAGCATACATATAGATCCTAAAACACCCTAACCTCACAGTTCCTCAATTTAATAATTTTATATGACCAATAGGTCTTTTTCACTCAGGTGCACACAAATGCACCATATCCATGTTTATGAACTGTGAATTTCTCTCATCTGATCAGAGTCTATCATCATTTCACCTCCTCCTCTGCCTTGCAACCCCAAACACAGTTCTTAGTCCACACTATAATTTTCAGTCTTTAAACTTTTTCTAAGACTATAACCCCTACACTAGATATACTCTTTTCCCTTACTTATCTTGACCCCTTGGTGAACTAATTCAACTCTACACTGTCCTTGTCTCCTGAGTCCCTTCTTTATCATATTGTTGAACTTGCCATGCAAGTTTACAACCAGCATTCTCTACCTTCACTCCTTACACACATGCTACTTTAAAAAAATTTAAAAAGGGAGGGGGAGGGCTATATAAAGTTATGAAACTTTGCAGACACTACAGATTTATGTAACATAAAGTCAACCGCTGCAGAGCAGTTCTTTTTCAGCTTATTAATTAATTCACTATCCCATTCACCACAGCTGCTTTTCTGAATCTTTCTGTCCCTCAAATTTTCCATTTCTCTCCCTCCCTCTACCCTTTCAACTAAGAGCATTACCTCATATCTCCTGAAAAAATGAGGCCACTCCCTAAGAGCTCCCTTCTCTTCCACATCAGTCACTTTCCTTCTCCCACTATCTCTTCTTTCATCCCTCCCCCACATAACGAAGGGGCCTTCTCCTTACCAAGGCAAACCCTCTACATGAACAAGTGATCGCATTCTATCCCATCTTCTTCAGCAGATTGCGCTCGCGCTCTCTCTCTCTCTCTCTCTCTCTCTCTCTCTCTCTCTCTCTCTCTCTCTCTTTCTCTCTCTCTCATTCCCATTTGATCATTTATTTTCATTCTTTCCCTGCCTGCTGGCTGCTACAGCCTAGAAATATCCATCCTCAAAAAAACCCTCACTTGATCCATCTATCATCCCCTATAACTATCATCCCCTGTCTCTCTTTGCTTTTTTTGGCTAAACTTTTAAGACCTTCCACAAAAAATGTGTCCACTTTTGACTACTTTTAGTGCTACAATTCCAATGTCTGATTTTATCCTTCAATTGAAATTACTCTCTTCCAAGGTACCAGTACTTGATGGCCAAACTTAATAGTTTTTCCCCCGAGCCTCACCCTTCTTGACTTTTCTACAGCCTTTGATGCTGTTGATCACTCTCTTCTTGATACTTGCTTTTCTATAGGTTTTCATGACACTACACTCTTTTGAGTTTCCTACTTATGTAATCACTCCTCAGACTCTATTGCTGGATCTTTATCCAGGTTATATCCACTAACCACTAGTGTCATGTAGAGCTCTCTGCACTGATTCGCTATCACTTTTAGGATCAAATATAAAATTGCTCTTTATAACCTAGCCTTTCTTCCCTCTCCTACCCCTCCCCAGCTGCTTTTATATACCACCCCTGCTATACTTTTCAGTTCAGTAGCACTGACTCCTTACTGTTCCTTGCCCAAGATACTTCATTTCTAGATGCATTGTCACTGGCTGCCTCCCTTGCCTGGGTTGCTCTCTCTCTCCTCATCTCCATCTCCTGGCTTCCCTGAAGTCCCATCTCCATCTAGCATTTAGCATTTCCCTTGCCCAACCCTCCCTTCTTCCTGACTTTTTTATTACTCTTAAGGGTACCACCATTCTCTCAATTATTGTTGTTCAGTAAACCAAAAAAAATTTTTTTGAGGCAATCAGTGTTAAATGTCTGAGGCTGAATTTGAATTCAGGTCCTCCTGACTCCAAGGCCAGAGCCCTATCCACTGGGCCACCAGCTATGCCCCCTCTTCCCCGAGTTGTTATTCAGATGTTTCAGTTGTGTCCAACTCCTCATGACCCCCCTTTGAGGTTTTCTTGAGAAAGATACTGGAATGATTTGTCATTTTTTTTGTCCAGGTCATTTTACAGATGACAAACTGAAGCAAACAGGGTTAAGTGACTTGTCTAGGGTCACACAGCTAGTTTGTTTCTGAGGCTGTATTTGAACTCAGGTCCTGCTGACTCCAGAGCTGGTGCTCCATCCACTGTGCCACATGGGCTGCCCATTCTCTTAATCACTCAATCTCAAAACCTGAATCATCCTAGACTCACTTCCTTCCACTCCATATATACAATCATGTGCAAAGTCCTGTCATTTCACTCATCATATCACCTCTCTTGAATATGCTTTCTATTTGACACTACCACCACCCTGGTGCAAGCCTTCATCTCTTCATGCCTAAACTATTGCAGTAGCCTTTTGATTTGTTTACCTACCACAAGTTTTTCTCCTCCTCCAGACCATCTTCCGTTCGGCTGTCAGAGTGATCTTCCTAAAGTATAGGTCCGAACATGTCACCCTTGTACTCATTCAACTCCAGTCACCTTTAGGATCAAATATAAAATACTGTGTTTGGTGTTGAGAGTCCTTTATAAGCAGTCCCTCACCCTCTTCCTTTCCACAACTTACCTGTCTTACAGTCTTCTTATGCCAGTATCATCCCAACCCCTATTGCCCCCAAATGCATAAAGTACTCTTCAGCCTCCTTACTTTCCTCACCAAGAAACTCCACCTCTGGAATCTGGGCATTTTCCCTGGTTGTCCCTCATACCTGGAATACTCTTCGCTATTTCCACCTCCTGGTTTCCCTCAAGTCCCAAATAAAATCCCATCTTTTACACGAAGCCTTTCCTGATCCCCTTTAATTCTAGCTCCTTCATTTTGTTGATAATTTCTCATTTATCCTGTATGTAGCTGGCATAGAGTTATTTGCATATTTTCTCACCCATTAGACCATGAAGCCCTTGAGATGAGGGACTGTCTTTTACCATTCTTTATATACCTAGCTTTTGGGTATATAAAGTATATATTAGGTATATAGCTTTTAGGTGCCTGAATCATAGCACATGATCAATAAATGTTTATTGACTGTCTGACTTTATATTTGTCAGCACTTGTACCTTATGATATGTATTTTTTTGACTACATGATCTATGTAGCACATAGCATAACACTGCTTGACTATATAAATTTACACTAAAAATTTTTTTTTGTAATGTCAAACACATGCTTTCCTACCAGTTTGTGAATGAAAATCTTTTTTGTTTTTTTTTTAATTCTATTCAGGTGTAGAATTTGGTGCTCGAATGATAACTATTGATGGAAAACAGATAAAGCTTCAGATATGGGATACAGTAAGTATAGCAAAAGTACATTGCATCTATCTCATGTTTAAAAAATATTCATTGATTCTGCTTTTTATCACAGTTTGTCAGTTGATTGTCCTCCACCTGTGACCCAGCATTAGAAGTGGTTCCAGAAAAGGCTTTGTTTTCCATTGTTCTCCTCTTGAAATATTTTGAGCTGCCATCAGTCAGTGAGCACATTGAATTGTGAGGGACTTTTATGGTTATCTATGCTGTGGAAGGGACCTTGTGTTTTTTAAAAGCTACTATCTGTAGTATTAAGTGTGGGCTCAGCAGTTGTTGTTATTTCCACTTGTGGAAAGTGTCCCACGGTGATGTAATCATGGATCCTGGGAATTTTCAAGTAGCGGGGCTCTCAGTCTGTGTAGTCTTGTGTGTATATTTAGATGCTTCTAAAGATATGTGATTTCTTTTATGTGGGTATACTCTCTATTAATGTAAATCCAAAAGCCTACCCATGCCCTAGAAAGCAGTCTTTTTGAGTGTGCTACAGCCAATCTTCTGATGATGATCACGTTACCAACTGCCTTTTGAACATTTCCAACAAAACAGCCATCTATATCTCCAACTCAAAATATTCAAAACAGACCTTGGTATCTTTTCCCCAAAACCCACTCCTCTTACTTGCTTTCCTGTTTCTTTCCAGGGTGCCCACCATCATTATAGTCATGAAGATTTACAGCTTTCAAGTTATCCTAATTCCTCACTCTCCCTCACCTCTCCATCCTCTATAATTAACTGTCAAATCTTGTAGATTCTACCTCCACATCTCACCTCTGTCTCTTTCTACCAACACCCTAGTCCATGCCCTCTCAACCTCTTGATTGGACTATTGCAATGACTTATTATTTTAAGTCTCTTCTTCAGTCTATCCCCCATACAGTTGGCAGTGATGTTCCTAAAGTGCAAATCTGATCACATCACTTCCCCTCTCAGAAAACTGAAGTGGTTACTTCTAGGATCAAACACAAACTTCTTTGGCATTTAAAACCTTGTACAGTCTGGCTTCAGTCTGTCTTTCTAGGCCTATTATATATGTTCTTCAGTCCAGTGACCTATTTTCAGATTCTTAAATAGGACATTCTCTCTCCTATCTCAGTGTGTCAGTGCTGATTGTCCTCCATTCCTGGAATGCTTCCATTTCTTACCTTCACATCTTAGATAGAATCCCTAGCCTCCTTTCAAACTCATCTCAAGTGCCACCTCTTACATGAGTATCCCCTCACCCCAATTACCTTGTGTTTGTATTGTATTTACTCATTTATCTGTATTTCAGTGCTTAGCAGAGTACCTGGCAAATAGTAGATATTTAATAAATGCTTGTTGATGTGGATTTATGAAATAGCCCCTCAATAACCCCAGTGATCTTTCAAGTAGCTCTGAAACAAAGCCTGTCTTTTAACACCAGTTTACATCCCATGTTGTTCTATCTGTGAATTATAAAATATTACATCAGAAGAATCTAGAATTCTGTATATTTATGTGTACATCCCATGTTGTCCTATCTGTGAATTATAAAATATTACATCAGAAGAATCTAGAATTCTGTATATTTATGTGTACATTAATATATACAACTGATATATAATTTATAATATACAAAGCTTAATTTTTAAGAAAGACAACGTATCAAAGTAGATACATACAGAACAAAATGGATAAACTTGAATGAAGTTCAAGTAGTTTAGTCTGTAGTTATCAGACTTTTAATTTTAGATACCAGTGTGCAAGCCCCTGTTTTGACTTTTCCTTTTCAAGTGTCTGAAATATTATATTGGTCTTACTAAATTCAAAGAATTAGGTCAGTCGTCCTTGAATTGCTAATGTTTTCCTGTGCAGAATTAACTTGCATTCTGTATAAAACCTTCCAGTAATTGAACACCATGTCACGTATGCTGTGACATTTGCTATCATTTTAATTTGCCAGATAGACACTTCAAGAAGTTACACTTCTTGATCTGATTTGCTGCCATCAGTCTGAAGTAGGCAGTGGCCCTGCAATTTAAGAAGTAAAGAATAATCCTTAGGCATATTTAGTTGAGGTAGATTAGTATGCTCCTCCTTCCCCCCCCCACTTTTAATCAAATGTATATCATAAGGTATTAAGACTAAGAACTGAAAGAAATCTTGGAAGTTTTCCAACTCCCTCATTTTACAGACAAGGACACTGAGGCTCAAAGAGCTTTTGGTTGCCCTGTGGTCTCACAGTTCATGTAACAGGTAGAATTCTAATCCTTATCCTTTGAATTCTTATTAAAAGTTAAAAGCAAACATTGAATGACTACTGTATTTAATCACTAAGTAATGTGATCAAATTGGAAGATAGTTTGGTACCTCTTGAAATATTATCAGTTGTAGCCTAATCTGATCTTCTATACAAACCTTAATTAGGAATGGTGACTTTTACAATTCAGAAGTTTAATTTAGTGTCTAAACCGTCCTGAGATTTGTGTGTGGCTCCCTGGGATCTCTGTTAGTTTGACCACAGAAGTTTATCTTCTTTCAACCCTAAAAGCCTCTTTATAGTCCTTACTTGATTTGCCATAGACTTGCCTGCTTAGCCATTTGTTTCTCAGATCTCCCATTGTTTTTCCAGATGGATTATTATTTTGTCTAGTTCTACATAGTAATACATTGGTAATTTAATTACTATGACACTTAATCTGTAAATTAATTTGGAAGATATCATTTTATTATGTTGGCAAGCCCTGACCATGAGTATTTTCTTTATCTAATTATTAAAATTTTCCTTGATTTCTTTAAGGAGTTTTGTAGTTATATTTCTGTTACTACAGAGTGCTTTAGTAGATTGCATTCTGTAATGGAGAAACACTAGAAGGCTTTTCAGTAAGATCGGATGTAAAGTAAATATGTCTGTTGTCATCACTATTATTTTACATAGCTGTAGAATTTCTCACTAACCATAGCAATAGTAACAGAAAACGAAGTTGAGGGAAGCAGTATAGCCAGCAAATAAGAGGTAGAATTATCTCTATTTTCAGATAGGTGTGAGATTCAGCCATCATCTTTTCTGTATTCTTTATTATCTTCCATCAGCAAATCAACAAGCATTTATTAAGTACTTACCATGTGCCAGATATTCCGCTAAGTAGTAGCACGCACGAGTGCACACACTCTGTGTGTGTGTGTGTGTGTGTGTGTGTGTGTGTCTTACATATAGTTAGTTATTTACACATCTGCCCATTAAAATGAGAGGTCTTTGAAGGTATAAACAGTATTTTTAACCTTTTTATATATCCCCAGCATTTGGCAAAGGACCTAACACACAGTAAATGCTTAATAAATGCTTATTGGTTGGCCAATAATAACATCTTTGCCAGAAGAAATAGAAAGAGAAATTCCATTCATAATAACTATAAAGATGTGTAAAATATCCAAGTGTACCTGTTATTTCACAACCTTTCTAACAAGGTTTCATTGTGTTTATTTCTTCTAGACACTAGCCTTAAAGGACCATGCCATGTTTGTATTAATTTTCTGTTACCTGCCCTTCTTTAATCTTCTGTACTTGTCTTAAAAATCTCATTTAGTTGTTGAGTTCCTGTGAATTCACATTGGTTTCTTTATAGACATTTTCTTCTTCCTTGGAAGTATTTCTGTTCATGTATTCAGAATTTCACTTTTGAGAGCTTTTTTCCCTCCTGGATTGATTTCCTTCATATTCAGTTTATTTCACCAAGTAGTGCTTCCTATGTGCTAAGCACTTCATTAGACACCGAGGATGCAACGACAAGAAGCAAAACATTCCGTACCCTCAAGCAGCTTACATGTTGTTGGGAACAAGATGTTCTTAGATAAGTAAATACAAAGTCATATGCAAAGTAAATAGTGGGAAGCTCTACTAGCAGCCTTAGTGATCCACAAAGATTTTTGTAGAGTATTACACTTGGAAGGGAACAAAGGATTCATGGAGCTGAAAGGGGAAAGCATTCCTAGCATAGGGAGAGCCTATATAAAGACAAGGAGTTGGGAAAAGGGATATCATTGCATGGAGAATAGCAAGTAGTACAGTTTGGCTGTACACAGCATGTGTGAGAATCAGTAATATGAAGTCAGTGTGGAAGGATCCTTTGGACCTAGATTGTTAGTGATTTTAAATGCAAAACAGAGGAGTTTGTATCTTACCTTAAACACAGTAAGGAGCCACTAGAGTTTAAGAAAGGAGAGTGACATAGTTAGACCCTATGTGGGTACCCTGGTTGCATATGTGCTTTAGGAAAATCATTTTGGCAGCTGTACAGACAATAGAGTGGAAAAAGTCTTTTTACACCTTATTGCCTGCCATGTGCTCTTCGATTTAATGACATTGACTTCCTTGCTGTTGCACAAACAAGACATTCCATCTCTGGCTTTCTCCCATGCCTGGAATGCTTTCCCTCTTCACCTCTACCAGCTAGCTTCTTTGGCTCCCTTTAGGCCCCAATTAAAATCCCATCTTCTACAGGCAGCCTTTCCTAACTCCTCTTAATTCTAGTACCTTCCCTCGTTTAGTTATTTCCTATTTATCCTGTATGTAGTTTACTCTCATGCTTCATTGAAAAAAATGTTTTGCACCACAAACTCCAGCTTATACCTTTAAGGTGCTAATTTTCTCCTTCACTCTTGTGAAGGGGTGGGTGACCCAACTCCAAGTGAAGATGGTAGAAGGGCAATCTGTTGCACAAACTGGAGTTGTAATCCACAAGTCTTTGCAGATTGGATATGAAAGTGATGCAGAGTAAAGAGGCAAAGATGGCTCCAAGCTTGTACAGCGAGTTGTCCTCAATATAGATAGGATAGTTAAGAAAAATGAGTTTTACTAGGAAAGCAGATCAGTTCTGTTTTGGACATGTTGAGGCTGAAATTGCCACTATTCAAGTGGTGATTATTATTATGACCTTCATTGTAAGAAGTGAAAAAATAGTCTCAGAAAGGTTAAAGTAACTCGTGTATCCAGCCACAGTTGATAATATAAATTGTAGCTCAAA